TTAAAATTCAAACACGATTGTTAAAAAAAAAAAGTCTTGATATAAAGAGCAAACTGAAAAAGAGATGAAAAACATCAATATATTTTTGTACGACACATTAGTTATTACAATATAAAAATTTAGAAATAAAATAACATCAGATTATAGATAAAATAAAATTAAAAAAAAACGATGAAAAAAAATGTAAATGTTATCATGTATGAAACTAAAAAACGAGATTGGAACTTATATATTGAATTAATTAATGATTTTTTTTTTTTTTATTTTTACTTTTAAATTTTGTTAAGGTGCTTTTCTTTTTGTCTTCTTGAAAATAATGTCATCACGTGTTAGGAAGAGAATAATGATGTTAATTTTTAGAGTCTTAAATAGTTACTTCATGTCTTTTGGGTCTAAATAAGTAGATTTCATCTATGTTATGCACTGATAGTTGAATCATCTTTCTAAACATAAAACCAGACCATACCATGTTTGGATATCAGTGGTTTGGTATAAAATTATCGAATTCGCCATCATTTAGGGGTTTGACTTGTCAAATATGCTAATTAGTTTGTTTATTTGGTTAGGTTTTTGAACCCAAAAACCAATTTTGAAAATACTAATTTTAGAATTGAAAAGAAATGATTCATTGAATAAAATGTCGACATAAAATTTCAAAGTCCGCGTCCGCCCCTGAACATACCTTTTACTGTTTATAATAAAAATGCTTTATTTGTGATTTATATTAATCATTAATTTCTCATTTGCATTATTTTTCTAATTTGCATTACTTTTCTTATGAATCATTTATGAAAAATATTTATATTAATTTTATTTTGAAGGTCACATTTTTGTTAAAAAGATTAAAAAAAAAATGAAAGAGAGTGGTTTGTAAAAGGGCCTTCCAATATCCACCTTGGCATTGCAACATTCACTAGCCCAAATTCTACGGAACCAGAAATAGCCCGTTAATTTAAGGATCCCAAAGCCCGTTTTTACGGCCCAAAAATCCTGAACTTTCACGAAGCTTCTTCCTCGTCCTGTCCCCCCCAAAAGGAAGAACCAAGAAGCATAGGTTGACAAAGCTCAACTTTTCCTGTTTTCGCTCCCCACGCTACGAGCAATTTAAGCCTCTTTAACATCACCATCTTTCTCCATTGAAGCTTCCATCGATTGGCGTGCGAATTTCGCAGGTATGCGTTTATATGTTCGTAAAATTTGCACAGTTCTTTTCTTTTCCCCCTTTTTTTTTTGTAGAAAATGAAGAGGATTGAGAACAAATCAAGAAAGTTCGCGTGGTGAATTTGATGCCCTTTTAACCATTCTTCATATTCAATCCAATTCCTTTTCAATTATCGTGAAAGATTACAACTTGATTCATGAATATGGTTTGATTTATGGTTCTTATTTATCCGCAGGGTTATCATCACTTTTGTTAACTTTCTGATTAATTTCACCTCACAAATTCTGCAGATTCGTATTTAGATTCTCGCGCTAATGACTGCTTCGTTTCTTGTGAGAAGGTTCAGGCCGATCTCCTCTTCAAGAGGAAGATGGGGTGAAAATCGAATCGTTTTTATTTATTTATTCACGATTTATTTCACAATTAATTTGCATGATTTGTAATTGCGTAAAGTTACGTATTTGGTGGGCAGCTGGGACGTTGACTCCGAGGAAACAATCAAATGATGATGCTAGCGAAGCACGTGTCGAGAAGGAGAAAGTCGAGCCGATTACCACCTTCAGCCGGCCGCCTCCGTTTTCCCCTTTCCTCGGATCGCTTGTTGCTCTTTCAATGCTGCAATCGTGGAGCAAAAGGGATAACAATGACGATTGACGAACGGCAGGTGATACGAAGCCTTTTCGTTTGTGTTAGTTTTGTTGTGGGTGTTGTGTTGGATTACAAAAAATGGGTCTTCATACATATTGTAGAACTGAAAATAAATAAATCTTGGAGTTGTCTGGTAGATCAAATTTTAGGAGGAGTTGGACTTGATCCTTGTAGTTGTGTGCTACTTGTGAAAAATGTTCAAGAGTTGGTTGAGTATTTTGAGAGTTTTGAACTTAGAATGCAAGCTCATGTTTTAAGTAGTTTGATGTACCGTGATATATATTTTGTTACTTTGTGAAAAATGAAAGCTCATTATAATGAGATGCATTTTTGTTTCCTTTATTCTTGTTTCTCCATTCTCATGCATGATACTTCGACATGTTTATAAGCTTACTAATAATATAATATAATCGAGAGCAAAGAACTTTTCAGCAGCAGTGCTACAATTCCTAGTTTGATAGGTGACTCCATGAGAAGTTAGCTTTCTTGCTTATGGTTTGTGAAGCATGTTAGTTGTTGATACCCGAATATAATAAACTTGAATGGAAAGAGAACCCTCTAATAATCCTTCTTTTGCCCATTCTCAATCTCAATAGAAAATTTTGGTTACACATGGAAAAATATCAAAATAATGACCAGTATTCAGGAATAACAGAAAAAAATATATGAAAACCTATTTCCCTCTAAGTGGTTTAAGAAAGTAGAGGTCATTGAAAAAAACAATCTTCGGCTATCATCACATCCGTTTGTTTTAAGTTCTTCTTGTTGATGGTCGAGTAAAATAGGCGCAATTGTTTGAGCTGGAGAAAGCAGACTTGGACGAACGTTAAAGTCTTTTAGGTGGCATGGCAATATATCTTCGGTGATTTTCTCGAATGGCCCTCTTCGTATATGTTTGTTTAATGTGGCCTGTACGCATTTTCTTGTTGAAGTTTGCGTACTCTATTCGCTTGCAAGATTTGATTTTTATTTTTTTTTATTTTTATTTTTTATTTTTATTTATGTGGTGTGAAAAAAGTATCAAGATTTCATGTCCTTTAGATTATAATGCCTAGGTTATGTGCCTGTAGTTTTAACTTTTAACCAAAGAATGATACCACACTGAGCCTCGATTCATTTCTTTCACCAAGCTATTAGTTGTCACACGCGCACACACAGAATCGGAGGGAAAAATAAATAAATAAAAGCACGCTTCAGATTTACAAACAACAAGTATTCTGGCACCAAAATTTGGTTACACGAAAGCTCGATACTATATCATATCTTGTTTTTCCTCATTGCTGTGACCTTTTTCTCGGCGTGCCCAAATGGTGAGATGGAGATGACGACATTATAGACACGAGCGACTGTATTGCCTTTGCCGCAATCTTCATTTTAATCTGCCCTCTGTGTGGAATTGGCCCTCTTTCCTTCAACTTCTTGCTGAATGCAACAGCTGATGCATTATTTACTTTGGTCCTCATTTTCTGCATTTTCGATTTTTTTTTCAATGCTATTGAACTGAGGTGATTGATATAATGTCTGTAAATTGGAGTGTGTATATATATATATATAGAGAAGTTGGGTTTGTGTTGACTTGAGAGCAATTTGGACAATAGGGGAGCATGCCAGCTAAATTTGTTATGGACTGTGAAGATTCTGTTAGAACAAGCAGGTTACCAAATCATTTCTTTATTGCCAGTGTTGTGTGAGCTGACTATTTAGGAGAACATGGTTTTTCACATGATTGATATAAACCAATTATAGGGAAATGCTAAGGTCTCGTTACAGAACTACCGTCGGGGCTTGTATCTAACGATTACAAATCTCGACGGAATGGTTCTGTAACGGGACCATAGCATCTCCCACAATTATAACACAATTGGGAAGAATAACAGGTGAATTACATTCTACCAGTAGACACTGTTCTTTGAGATTTTATTTTTTTTTTTTATTTTTTTGGTTTCTTGATATTGTTGGCCAATTGTGGTTTATACTGATTGAAGATATTGAATCAATTAAAATAAAATATCATTTCAGAGGAATAATAAATGGCAAAAAATATATGCACATGCAGCTTGTACCCATTAAACTACACATGGAGACAGCATTTAAATACTGAGGATCATTTTTATTTTATTTTTTTCCAATTAATGTGCATGTTTTTAAATTGAAGATGTAATAACATAAATAAAAATGAACTTGTAACAATTAGAACATCTCAAATGAAAATTTATATTTATGATATTATGTATTGCCAATTGTCATTTTTCTTACAATTTTCAACTTGTCACAAGTTGGGGTAATACTATTTTCTTAAAATTTTCAACATGTACTGGTACAGCTCATGTATTGTCAAATAATACCTTTTTTCATGATCTCCTGCTGGTCGTGTATCAGCCTTTCTTGTCACTATTATAAATTAATTATACGAGCAATTCCTACTAGTTTTTCTTATTCTTCATACCAAAAAAAAGGAAAAAAAAAAAGAAGTTATAGATTAATTTTTTTTTGTTACATAATGTTGGCCCTATTATTCTTCATTTTTTCCTTATTATCATGTTTTTTTTTTGGTACAATAAAAGAGGTCGGAGGCCCAAGGGATACTAGATTAGGACTCGACGGGGGTAAGACACTCCAATTATATCATGATCAAGTCACAATCCCAATCCTGCAAGAGGAGAAGACACTCGTTGCAGCCCAAGTGGAAATGAAGATGCTAAACTCGCCATATAGTCTGCCGCAAAGTTAGCCTCCCTATGAACGTGTTGGATCCAGATGCTCCAGTCCCTCGGAGTCATGCTACGAATAGCCGTAACAAGCGAGGCATGAGCCCCACCAATGTCCTTGGTACCAAGGACCATTCTCGTCACACATTGACTGTCAACTTCGGCTAACACTCGACGGATCCCCTAGTCTCAAGCAAGTTGCAATCCCTGGAAAGACCCCAAAGTTCGGCGCCCCTGATAGTGTAAGCGCCAATATTCATGAAAAATCTCTCAATCCATCTCCCCATCTCATCCCGAATTAATTCACCCGCACTACTCCGACCCGTATTTCTATCAAATATTTTTTTACTACGAACAATAATATTTATCTAATATTTTCTAGTTGTCATATTATTAATTACGATCGACAACCAAACATTTCGTAGAGATAATTCAGAATCTATCGACACACGCGGCCACGATCAGACAGGCTCACATAGTGTAGGTTTAACCACGGCCATCTGATTTTGTTAAAGCTATAAAAAAACCACCTTGTCCGAAGGTGAGGTGAACATAATCTTTGTACAACCAGTCACATTAGCTGGCATTCAAATTCAACTATCCCCAAAAGACAATGTGATTAAATTTTATTCGTATTTTCACCACATGCTAACTATTACATGCATTAGATTATCCTCATGTAGGAATAATTAAAATTGCCTAAACAATTAATATAATAATAATAATATATGTTTTCTTACTTTTACAATAATTAATTGGTAGTGTTTCCTCAAAATTGCAGACATTATGTTATTCACTGCATTTTATATAATAAGATGTGATTCATAAGTGGAAGAAACGTGAGAAACGAGTGTGGTCCCATGCACGTGAAACACACAATAGCAGGGTGAGTATAGATGAAGCTCAAGTGAGGTTTCATACCAATATATAGCAGTGGGAAATTGATTTTGGGATGGAACATCACTTGACCTTCATCTAGGCTCACCCTACTATTGTGCGCTTAACACGCGTGAGATTGCACCCGTTTGTCCCTCATTTCTTACATGGTATCAGAGCCGACCTATATGGGGTCCTGGCGATGATGTACATGTTACCCGGCCTAATTGGGCTTGGGTCTCGTTTGAAAAACTCACAAGTGAGAGGACGTATTAGAATATAATACTACTTGTGAGTTGTTTCACATCGTTTATACAGAGACAATAAATCCAACTTATAAACTTAGTGGGCTACTCTTCCTACAACTAACTGGTTTTGGGATGGAACCTCATTTGGGTTTCATCTAGCCTCACCCTGCTATGGTAGAATATCACTTGGGTTTCACGACTTCATCTAGGCTCACTCTGCTATGGTGCGCTTCACGTGCATGGGACCATACCCATTTTTCGCGTTCTTACATGGTATAAATAAAAGTAATTTGCATTCATATTGTTCATGTTTACTAAGATCAAATTTATAAATCTTATATTCACATTATCTAAGGGATATATAATTTTAAATATTATATTCATACATATAATTTATACGGTTATTTATTTTTTATTTTTTTTTGCATATGTGCATGTGCAAAAGATAAATTAAAAAGCTATAATTTTTTTTTAAAAAAAAAAAATTGAAAGTAACCTTAAAAATAATAGTTGTATTCATCCTCCCTATATATTATTCCCGAATGTGCTGAGCCTACGTGGCTGCTTCTGGTGCTTCGGAATCCTACTTGGCAAAAAATCATGCTTCGTAATTAGGTTTGGACAAATAATATTGATATATTAATAATTAATAATATAGGTTGGACATTTCATAAATATTATTTAGCTAACTTAGGTATTTAATATCACTTGTACTAATATAACCCTTTATTTCTTTGTAATTTTAGGCCCTAAGTGACTAATATATCCCTGACTTTTGATTTGTTTCCTTCAATTAGCTATTGAATTACAAATGTATTTTAAAAGTCGATAACTTCTGTATTTCGTATCAGTTTTACATATATAATATATCAAATTAATCATCTTTTGATGATCTTCGATTTGACATCCATATTGTATATATGAAATAAATAAATTATAATTATATTTATAATAATAAAAAATAATAATATTTATTAAAATTCATTAGATTTGAATTTTAGCACTAAGTGACTAATATATTTCTTTGTAATTTTAGGCACTAAGTGACTAATATATCCCTGACTTTTGATTTGTTTCCTTCAATTAGCTATTGAATTATAAATGTATTTTAAAAGTCGATAACTTCTGTATTTCGTATCAGTTTTACATATATAATATATCAAATTAATCATCTTTTGATGATCTTCGATTTGACATCCATATTGTATATATGAAATAAATAAATTATAATTATATTTATAATAATAAAAAATAATAATATTTGTTAAAATTCATTAGAAATTATTTCTCAATTGATATATTTATGCTTAATGTAGTTATATGTTGTAAGTTAAAAAATTATTATAATATAACACATGTAAGTTGCACAAATAAATAGTGTCATATTAAATATATAATAATATAAATATTTTTATAAAAGGTATTTTAATTTTCAACTACTTTTTCTCATTAATTTTAGATTTTAAGAAATAATGAGCAAGCACCCGTGTAATACACGGGCGTTGTACTAATTGATTATGCTTTATAGATAATTTAATTTTAGTTTACAACTACATATGTGATTATTTTTTATTTTATGTATCAATCGTGAACACCAAAGTTTTATATTTTATTAATAGTATTTTTATTTATTTTTAGACATAAAGTCAAAATAGTTAAGATATTTAATTAATAAAATGAAATACTTCTTTATATCAAATCATGAAATACCAATCATATTTCATCTTACACAAAATAATTTTGATATAATTATTATCCATATATAATTTTACGCCACATTAATTTATATAGTTTCTAGAGTTAAAGTGAGTTATTTTGAATAAAGTAGATTGAGTTGGTGATTTCGAGTTTGAAGTTAAATAATATTTATAATGTAGTTATTAAAATTGATAATGTCAAACTATGAGAGATATTAATGGAAGTGATAGATAGTTAAAATTATGTGAGTGAATGTATAGTGAATTAAAGTAAATATGATGTGTGGAAATGATTGATATCATTTGATCATATTTATAAAAAATAGGAGAGTTGAGTTGACTTGAATTTTGAGTTAGATGATTACATATGAAATAACTATTGTACTAAAAATAGGCCTAGGTGCTAGGTGTCACCCGACCGCCCCCGATTTGCATGAATCAGCTAAAAAAATCGGCCAGACGGCGTCTAAACAGGCCTAAGCACTCCTAGGTGGGCTCGACGACAATTTTACAGTTTTTTTAAAAACTAATTATATTATTTTATTATCATATTTTATTTATAATATATTAATTGTTATTATTATTTGGACTAAGTTTGAATTTATTACAAATTGAGATATTTTTATTTTTTAAGTGTAAGAAAGTGAGAAAAATATATGTTCTATATTATTCACAAGACATGTACACATATATATATGAACATAATGAGCCTAAACCTAATCCTACAAGATACATACAAAATATATTATAACCATATATACAAAATATATTGTAACATTAAGAAGTGAAAATAAAAAATAAAATATTTAATCTTAAGTTAAGTAATGCCTAAGCCTTGGTTGAACGCTTAGCAGACGTCTAACGACTTCTAGAATATTGGAAATAATTCAACCGGCCGTAATTGAAATCTGTTATAATTCTTATTAGAAATAACTTAATCGGTCATAATCAATTATTGAACAGTAATGCTAAGAAGCCAACTGTTGGCTCCGTTACGGAGCCAACAACCAATTATATAGATCCATGTGGGGCTGTCCCACATGACTCTAATGTGGGACAACTCCACATGAAAATGTGGGACAGTTCTACATGGAGCTGTCCCATTAACTGTTGGATCCGTTAGAACCAACAGTTGACTCCCTAGCATTACTATTGAAATCAATTTTTTCAATCCGAACTATAGATAGTCCGATACCCATAGCCAGGATGTGTTCTTTGACCCTAATTCCCATCGTCCTCTACCTCGTACACACGTATAACATTTTGCACAGTCGTATTTAGGTGCCAGCGCGCCACCTGTTCATGCTTCTTGCTTTTTTTTTTTTTTTTGCTTTTTTTATTCTTTTTTTCTTCATTTTCACTGCACAGCTTTTTTAGTAGGAAAAAAAATCCAAAAAGATCTTCCCTTTTCTCAAGCCTATGAAATCAAAGCCTAATTTTAAGCTCTTTAATCGGTAAAGATTCCATTTTTATGTTGAAAACTTTGTTCATCTTTCTTGTATCTCTACATTTGGTAAAGTAGAGTTGAAACAAGAAAAAAAAAAAAAAAAATTGACTATGAAAATGGTGAAAAAAATTACAGAAAAAATCATCTGGGGTTTCCCGAGGTACCCATCTCCGCCGCCGCCGACCAAATCCGCCGCCCCAAGATTCATGGTATGGCTAATCCTGTTCGTTTCAGTCATTTATGTCTATTACGCAGTGAAGCTTCTTTCCTCTTCGCATTGTGAGGTAGATATTTTTGGTACTCGACGTTTGCCTTTAGACAATCCCTCAAACCAAACAGTCCCTTCATCTCATAATAATCCCGAGAACACGCTTCATCTGCCCGATCTCAGGCAAAAATCCCTAGGAAATAACAGAACAGGATTACAACACATTGTTTTCGGCATAGCTGCTTCGTCCAAGCTGTGGGACAAGAGAAAAGAGTACATAAAACTGTGGTTCAAGCCGGAAAATCGAATGCGTGGAGCCGTTTGGCTGGACAGGCCGGTGAAAATTCAAGAAAACGAGACCGAAAGTCTCCCTGAGCTGAGAATCTCCGGGGGCACTTCTCGTTTTGCCTACGAGAACAGAAGGGGCCACCGCTCGGCTATCAGGATTTCTAGGATTCTGTCTGAGACTTTAAGGTTGTCTGGTAATAGGGATTATAGTAACGTGAGGTGGTTTGTGTTGGGGGACGATGATACGGTTTTCGTGACAGATAATTTGGTGAGGGTTTTGAATAAGTATGATCATAATCAGTATTATTACATTGGGAGCTTGAGTGAGAGCCATCTGCAGAATATACATTTCTCTTATTCGATGGCTTATGGTGGGGGAGGTTTTGCCATTAGTTATCCTTTGGCAAGAGCTCTTGAGAAGATGCAGGATAGATGTATAGAGAGGTATCCTAAGTTGTATGGCTCGGATGAACGGATACAGGCTTGTATGGCCGAACTCGGAGTTCCACTCACGAAAGAACTTGGCTTTCATCAGGTGGCTAGTTATTCATTCATTTATTTATTCATTTATTGTTTTATGCTTTTGGCTAGGAATTTTGTTGTTGTGATTGTATTTCCATATCTTGGATTCTGTTTTTTTCCTGAGAGGGTACAAAAAATTGGACTTTTAATCAGAGGTTTGAGTGAACAATTTTATTGGCTGATTCTGTTTGGTTCAGAAAGATCGGTTATTTTCATGCACAAGGCTAACTCGATTGGTAACTTGTCGATTCTATTTTTTTGTTTTCGCGCTGATTTTGTGTCAGAAGGGTTGTAATATAGGAGCAATTGGCATATGTTTTGCTTCTTAAGTTTATTGGAAATGTGAAACAAAGGTAGCAATAAGGTGGAGTTTCTTGATCTCGGAAGCTGACATTTCTGATATTAAAGCATTTCAAATTCGAATTCCTAATAAGCCTGTCAAGTTATGGAATAATTTCAGAAAAATTGTATGATGTGTTTAATGGAAGCCAATACCATACATAGCGAGAAATTGGTTGGCTAATGAATGAATCATAAGCAGAGAAGAAAAACGAAACATTCAACAGTTCAATGATTTGTCATCATTTTGAGCTGTTTGTTAACCTATTCTAACTCCGTATTTTTTTTGTCTGAGTGACAATTTTTCAGTACGATGTGCACGGCAACTTATTTGGGCTCTTAGCAGCACACCCCATCACGCCTTTTGTTTCCCTTCACCACCTAGACATAGTCGAGCCGATATTCCCAAACGTAACCCGAATAAAAGCACTCGAGAGGCTCCAAATCCCCATGCAGCTCGACTCGGCTGGTCTAATGCAGCAGTCCATATGCTACCACAGAACTAATACTTGGACAGTGTCGATATCTTGGGGATTTGCTGTCCAAATATTTCGCGGGGTTTTGTCACCACGGGAGATCGAGATGCCTTCTAGAACTTTCTTGAATTGGTACAAACGAGCTGATTACACAGCGTACGCTTTCAACACGAGGCCCGTTATGAGGAATCCATGTCAGAAGCCGTTTGTTTTCTATCTGTCGGGGGCAAAAATGGAATTCCGTAAGAATACAACGGTGACCGAGTACAGTCAGCATCGTGTTGCTAATCCGGAATGCAAATGGAAGATGGCAGACCCTACGGATATCCGCCGGGTCGTGGTTTATAAGAAGCCAGATCCTCATCTTTGGGAAAGAGTAAGTTGGAATTTTTTATTTTATTTTTTCGATCTATAAAAATTCAAGCCGCTTGTTTTCGTAATTTTGAGAAACCTTTCGGTTCTTCTTTTCTGTCGATGAAAAAGGAAAATGTATTGCAGTGTTCAAATATATTATATGGAATTCATACTGGTGCTCAGACAAAGCATAAAAGAACAACTACCACAGAATATCTCTGATAGTAATATTCCATAATATATTTTTTTTCGCGTTGTTTTTCAGTCTCCGAGGAGAAACTGCTGCCGGGTCTCGAGTTCGAAGAAGAATAGCTTGGTTTTTGATGTGGGTGTATGCAGCGAAGGTGAGATTAGTGAAGTATGAAAATGGTGGCACGCTTGGCTATATCGATTAATTCGACCTTTACTGTCTTTTGTATTTCTGTATTTAGTATTTACATGATACTTGATAGGGATTAGTGACAATTCTTGAAAGTATATATCACAGAAAGCCTGGGAAATTTGAATTCGCAAATGTCTTAAAATGTGTTTGTAAGCTTGAAACAGAAGAATAATGTCTAGCAGAAAACAAATTGAACAATGCACACTTTCGAAAGTCGATCCTATTAACAAACAAATTAGTTTCGAATAAATTAGTTTCTACAGCTTCACGAACCAGGAAAAAAATAAAAAGATATTGCGAATCACCTATAATAGATAAAAGGAGTAAAATTAAGATATGTACAATTTACACAAAAGCTAAATCAGTACACAATGCAAACTGCCTCCATCCTGAATCCTTATTGTTTTAAGCATAAAGCTATTCACTTCAAGAGAACATTAAAACCTTGTCTGGGTTGCTTTTTTTTTTGCTACTACCAGTTTTTCACATGCTATGAACAGATTTGCTGAAGCTCAGTATTCGCCTTTCGTTGAGGTATCTGATATTGTGGGTAGCATATTAAGGAAACTTCCTTGTGAGTGTTGTGTGGATGATGAGTTCGACTCGTCACCTGTTAAATTTAAGAGAATAACATGTGAGGAAAAAAAATAAAAAAATTGACGATTGATTTTATACTTCATATATAGGGAATAGGATATAATAGCAGACGAAAAAAAAAAAACAAAAACAAAAAGTAATCGTACTGAAGAGGGATTTCACGGTAGGTCTTTTGGGTTTGTTGCTCTTCTTCTTCAGCTCAGCTGGTGGCAAAAGAATTAGCCAATAGAGGGACCAGTCAATACTTTAATCGAAATCATAATATGATGCATTTTACTCGAAACAGATATATGATGATTGATGATGATAATAATGATAAAGATATGTATGGAAGGAGTTACATACTTATTCCCGGTACTTCGTGATCATTAACAATTTCAAAATTCTTGTACGTGTAACCCATAAAATTGACATCCTTAGACGAAAGCATCTGCAAGCACGAAGATAAAGTCGATGTCATCTTACTACACCAGTAAAAAATTAGTATGCAGTAAAAGTTGCAGATAAAACTTATGACGAAATGTTTGAGCTCCACTAATTTACAAAGCAAGATTTCATATGAATAGAACAAAGTGTACCATTTCAGGCTGCAAAATTAGATAAAAAAATAAATAAATAAATAAAAAACATGGATAAGTAGTATTTCACGCACCTTCCTCCAGGGGCCGGATTTTGTAGCTGATTGGATTTGACTGTCAGACTGAAAAAGATCAAGCCCGTGAGTCCATAGAAAACCAAAAATCGAAAATGAAAACTCAAATGTATATTAGAAAAACGAGAGAAACCTCTTCAAACTTTTCGAAGTTTTGTGTGTCTAGTTCATCATTAACTTCCGGAATGAAAGCAGCTTTCATTTGATATAATTTGTTCCAATCCATGCCTTGGAACCAGGGATGAGCCTGAAGAAAGGGTAAAATAGGCACAACTTAACGCTTTGCCCGACATGAAAAAAAAAAAATGTTCGATTTCCTTTTCTCTCCCCATATCAAGACACACACCAAAGCACACCTTAATTTCGTGAGCACCTCTAGTGCCAAGCCTTTGATCTACATTACACAAGAGTTTACAGATAAGATCCTTAGCTTCCACTGATAGCTTCGCCTCTTCTGGAAATTTCAGATATGTTCTCCAGTTCACTATCTACAATAAAATAAAAGGGATTACAATCAACTTTACAAAATCCATTCACTTAATAATCATTTGTTATTTGGATTACAATGTTCGAAATTGATGCAACAAACAAGTAGCAATGCTTCAATATCATAAAACAAGGGAAAAAGAATCCATTATTACCTTCCTACATGTAGACATTGGCTCATCGGAATAGAATGGTGGATAACCCACAAGCATCTCATACATGATAGCTCCAAGAGACCACCTAGCCATAGACACATGACCCACATATTTCGATCAGGAAAATTTAACTTTTTTTTTTCTTCTAGATGGAAAGGATAAAACATACACATACCAATCACATTCCATTCCATAACCTTTCTTCAGTAACACTTCCGGAGCAATATAATCAGGTGTACCAACAGTTGAGTAGGCCTAAAATATGAAAAGTAGAGGAAAATTCAATATTGCTGAGCTTATTTATCGATAGAAAACTATTTAATGCCAGAAGGTCAGTTAAGGATGAGGCTGAGCTTATTTTTATTGATAGAAAACTTACGAGCATCCGCCTATTGCGCTGCCAGTGCTGAAGTTGCTCTTGCTGAGTGCGTTTTCGTGCTGCAGGCCGCCCATCACTTTGAAGGGCCCCACTATAGTTATTCCCTACAGAGAAATCTTTTTCTTGAATATTACTGCAATCCAGTGGTTTGCATAATCCGAAATCAGACAGCTTCATGTGTCCATTTCTATCAAGGAGCAAGTTATCAGGCTTGATATCCCTGAGAAAAGTTACAGAGAGAATAGTAATAAAGTACCATAACAAGAAAAGCTACACATTTCGGACCAAACTTACTCAGAATATTAGTAGAAACGAACCTATGAATATAATTGTGTTTGTGGATAGATTCAATCGCAAGAACAGTTTCCCCTACATAGAACCTGGCTTCATCTTCTGATAATATATCTTTACGCATCAGTAGAGTCATCATATCTCCCCCAGGAAGATATTCCATTATTAGGTATAAATACTCTTCGTCTTGGAAAGAACAGTAAAGCTTGACAATGCAGTTGCTGTCGACTTCTGCTAGTAAATTCCTTTCTGCTTTTACGTGCTCAACCTTGACAAAAGGATTTTGAGGAGATAAGGAAATAAACACTAATATAGAGAAATAACAGTTAAATGATAAATAGTATTTCTACCTGGCCTCGACGAAGCATTTCTGATTTCTTAAGTTTTTTCATTGCGTAAACATGGCCAGTTGACTTCTCCCTACAGATTCTAACCTGCAGCAGGCAAAAGCTCCAAGTTACTGAGAGAGAGAGAGAGGGAGGGAGGGAGGGAGAGAGAGAGAGAGAGAGAGAGAGAACCTCTCCAAAGGCACCCTTTCCAATCATGGTTAGAGGCTCAAAGTCATCAGCACCCATTTTCCGCCTCTGCAGCCGCATATATTCTCTTTCTTTTCTCTCTAGGTACTTGAGAATATTGTTCTGCTCTTCCTGAGACACCTCAGAATCAGCAAGTTTTTTCTCTAGCATGTTACGCCTACAAAGAAACAGAGTCAACATTATATTTCCATATTTTACAACACAAAATCTCAGATACAGGCAACAATATTTGTTTGATTGAGATAAAAGATCCTCTGCAATGACAAGAAAAAGAACTATGCAAAAAGCTTTTTGTTTTTCAGTTTCATACTACTCTTCGGGGGCAAAGAATAGGCATGGAGAAACACAACTTGATGACCGTCTATGCATCTTTAATATTTTTACCACACTCTCCAGATGATATTTTCATTTCTGTATATCCCATTAGCTAGAAATCAGAAAAACCAGTCATTCTATGCTAAACGATTTCCTACTTCGGAAAATAGGCACTGCATGTCTAACTTACCGGATCCATTATATAGAATCCTTCAAGTAGCTCATCGTTAGCTCTCATTATTACCCACCAAAACAGAAACTTAATCTACTTTTTCGGATACTCTTGCCTCTTAGAATTTTCATTTACTTACCATTGCCAGATCAGGATGAACTATGAAATCACCCATGAGTTTTCAAATGTTCCCAGATTAATCAGCCATAACTATTTTTTATTTTTTATTTTCTTTT